TTATTTGACTAAATGGCTTAAAATAATACCTATAAATGGAAAACAAACTTGTGACGTTATAAATGCATTTAAGCAAATATTTGCAACTCATTGTGTGTCTGATATTATTGTGGCTGATAATATGCTGTTTGGTTCCTATGAGTGTAAGGTTTTTGTAGATCAATTTGATTTTGAAATTCAAAAAAGTTGCCCTAGATATCCCTGGTCTAATGGTTTGGCAGGAAGGTTTGTTCAAGCAGCTAAGAACATTATAAATCGTAAATCATGATATTTGGGTAGCTTTAATGGATTATCGGAATACTCCCATTAGTGGGAGCGGCTCGTGTGAAATGCTGGTATTATTCGGCATTTCATAATAAAACTGTGCCAATTTGTACACATGTTGCCTGGACTTATTGGAGTGATTTGAGTCGCAGAGCTGGAAGTTCCGTCTTTAGGATTTATTTCACGATATTTCAACATTACTTTCGAATATCATCCAGACAACAGACAATGTCGAAGGGACGAAAAAACGTAAACGGTGGTGGCTATTGCTTCTTCAAGTTCTTCACCAGCTGCAGTGCATGATTTAGATTGGTCATTATGCTGCCTGTCACTCAGCCCACCCAGCAACTCAAACACTGAACATGGAAATGCAGGTTATACAGTGTGTCCCAATGGACCCTGATTGAAAACACTGCAAAATATTACCAGAATTGTAGATGTCACTGATCTCAGTACAGAGGAGAAAAAGTGTCTGTCGCCTGAAAGAGTTCCTGGTAGAGGCAGCCGCACTCGATCGTCATTGCCCATCACAGAACCGAAATCCATCAAATGTTTTCTTTGCTTGGAAGAGGGAAAATGGAAAGCGCCCCTTTGTACTGATAAAATTATAGAAAAAGTTAGGAATTGTTCCTCTACATTTGATTGCAGTAGTGAAATCTCTGATACTGTCAAGTCTTGGTACCATTGGTGCCAAGCGCTGATAAATATGTAGCTACTCATTCGATTGCGCACTTGATGGAGAAGATACCTCACAAGCCTTACGTGGCTTTCATTGTTATAAAGGTTGTGGCAAAACGTCCTTTTTCAATTTTATTCGTAAAAAGAAGGAATTTCTGACCTGGATGAAGCGCCTGGACGTGACACCAGCTTTACTTGAACTCACCAATCCACAAAGAGAAATAATAGAAGAAATAATGAAAACTTTGTAATCATTTACTGCCATTGTATATGACCCCAAAACACATGATAAATCCACTACGTACGTACGAAAATATTTCATTGGTAAAAAAAATAAATTAGTGCAATTCCTCTCTCCAACGCCCTTTGCATTGCAGCCGTATGCACTGCGGACTGCAAACCAAGCACGTCATGTGTGGGGTGGTGCTTGTCGTCTACTGAATGCCCTCAAAATCCCTCAGCTTGGGAATGGACACGAGGTAAAGTCGGCTGGGAACCAAATTGAACCAAAGAGGTACAAATATGTAAAGAGTTCCCAGTCCTAGGAGAATGCAGCTACAAGTCAACTTGTGTTACCAGAAGGTGCTTATGCTTGCGAAACAGCCTTCCCTGCACTCTACTGCAAAGAACACTGCACAAATCAGAGGCGAGTATATATGCTTATTATATAAACATGATTGTCAGAATTTATTTGTAGTTATATTGACCAGATATTTTTTTTATAGTTCGACTGCAACAGATCTAAGCGATGATGAAGCTTTCCCAGATGATGACATGAATGATGAAATGATGAAATTTTCGAATCTTGTAGGCCGTGAAGATATCATGAAAGCGGCCTAGAAATGGAAAATGAAGCATGCTCCTCACACAGAAATTGATTTTAGATATCATTTTTGTCATTTTGACCCTCGGAAACCCCAAAAACGACATCCTAAACGTAAAAATCGCTCTAAAAAAATATATTGCCTGACATTCATCTCTTCTTGAAAATAGGTGCCATTCTCAATCCTAAGGAATGAAACTTCCGGCTCTGCGACTAAAATCTCTCCAATAGGTTAGGAGAACATGTGTACGAAGTGGCACAATTTACGGGCCGCTCCCACTATATCACAAGTTTAAAGCGATCATTAGCTGAACTTCTATTTTCAAGAAGACTTAAAGCTAAACTACCAATTGTAGAGAAACGAAAACCTGAAATTACAGAATTTGAAATATAAAAAGAAGGAATATTATGATAGGCTTGCAATGGAGAGATCAGAATTTGAAAAGGAAGAAAATATTATATATAGTGATTCTAAGCAGTGGTGCAAAGCGACTATAATGACCAAACATGAGTCCCCTAGGTCTTATTTGATTGACAATGGTAGCAGAATGCTACGACGTAATAGTAATCATTTACGCAAGACAATTATTGCACTTGAAAATCAGAATTTGATAAATTATTCAGATAATAATGATTACGATAAAAATAACTTAGGATCTATTGATGATCCGAATCAAACTTGTGTTTCTGCAGAAAGTAGTCCTGCTAGGCCTACTTCTGATTCACATACGCATACTTTGAATAAATTGAAGTTGTAACGTGCCAAAATTGCCTTTAACTATTTCACACTTATTTTTAGTTTTCCATTCAAAATTCCTATAGATATCTAATTTTTCCCTAATTTTATTAGGCTTTGTTTTCACATAAAAATTCAACAATAACTACATGAGTTGCAGATCCTGTAAATTTACTAATCTTTATTATTCAAATTCTATTTTCACTTGTGAGTAGTTCTTGTTGACAACTAATGATTTTTCTCGATTTTAATCAATATTTTAATTCCATTTCCAAATAATTAATCTTCATGTAAACAAATATAATATTTCTGATACTTGGGTTAGATTTTCCAATTCGTGGTCCGTTCACGAAGTGTGTACTGCACGCTGCACGTACTCTGTTTGGTTGCTGAACTCAGTACCAGATTTAGTTCTGCATCCGGTTTCATCATTGGTTCCATGAACCACTGGATGCTCACTTCGCTCTCTATTTTATAGTGACACTTAGGTCATGTCACTTATGATTTGTGTACCAGCTGACGGCAGAAATGTCATTCATTTTTGTCAATTGGCCTTTCGATTAGTAATGTTCTTGGGATCATCGATTTCTTTGTAAGCGATTACGTTTTACAATACGAATTTCTTATTAAATGTCGTATTCTTCAAATTATGATTGTTCTAGTGTTCCAGTGGTTAATTACTTGTTGTTGTTATCATTAGTCATCAGCTGTTGTCATTTTTCTTAGATTATATTGTTGTGTGTAATTTTTGGTACTTGCAATGCTCCTCGACTTCTTTTTGACATTTGTCGATACTTTGTTCCACCTCTAGTCTTTACCTTTAAGACTGCTAATTAATTTTATGTGGTGCTCTTTTCTTTCACTTTTGGTGGTTCCGAGAAAAAAGTCTTTCTGTTAAGTTAAATAATTTTGTTTTCGCCTTCGAGGAATTTTGACCGTATATTCTCAATTATTGAATTTATGGTACATTGAGTTGCCTTACGTTGCGTTACGTTTTTATAAAGTGTTATAATTTCGCCGATGATATCGGATTTTTACAACTATCTATTCGGTAAGTTTTGCTTTGCTCGTTTTTCCCACAGTGGATTCAGGACCTTCTCTATCATCTAAATCATTAGTGAAAAGCTGCCCTAGGGAGTAGAGTAAAGACCACTTCATTCACTCCAGGATTTCGAATCAAGACCCCGATCCATCCAATAGGTGTTTGTTTTCGTTGTTCTAAATTAAAGTAAATTAGAGCTCTACTAGCAACATTTCAAGGACAAAAAATAAAACATAAAACTAAAATAGAGGTCAGTACTTGCTGACCCAAGCTGCCCTCCAATAACCAAAAACGTGTCACTATCCATCATAATATTCACAATTATTGTTGAGTAATTTTATTTGCCTTTCTATAACGAACAAATTGTTCTTCTATGATAATATAATTTCAAAAATTTCATTTAAGATGCAAGTATATTCATTATTCATCCAAGATTGTTTCTGCGCTTCACTGAAACTTTTCGCGGACGTTCACAATGTTCCCAGAGGATTTTATTAGACGGTCTTGAGTCTATCAAAAGCAAAAGTCGACCAGTAGAGATAGGGAGATGAAAAAAATTAAATAAAAATAATTTATGCTCGAAAATCAAAAGTTTTAAGGGTAAAACACGGAAAAGTTTTTAAAACGGTCGGAGAATAAAAGTTTTACGAGTTAATTGAAATTATGGAAATCGCAGAATTTCCCTGATTAGGGCAAATTTTAAAGCTCAAACTCGGATAGAATTATTTAATTTTAACTTTGGAATAAATTTGTAATAAGATCTATGTAATGATAATGATTTTTTATGACCCTTTTTTTCAAGGTTCATTCAGCATTTTTTTTTATGCTAACCAAGGGTTATATTTTTATAAAGACCACGCATGCATAATGCAAAAGAGAGGGGTTTTATCCCCTTTAAAACATCTTTTTAGGCCACCGTTCTTCTGTCAGGTTAGAGGCGATAAAAAATGGATAGAAACCCGCGTAAAAGCTTCGAATTTTCTCTGAAATTACACCCCGAAGCAAATAAAATAAATCGTATTACGTTTTAACCAACTGATACATACTAAGTGGTTCAACTCTCTAGAATGTCTAGATTATGTCATTTAAAAATATATTTCAGCTATCAAGCAAAATAGTTAAAAACTCAATATCGAATTAAAGAAATTAAAAATTAACCTTCATTAAAATAAATGTTCATTTTAAGATTCCATTTAAGTTTGTTGCTCTGTTAAAACTTTTAACGACTACTTGGTATATATAATTCACAAGTTTAACTACGTCATGAGGACCTTTAAAACTTGACGACGTACCTATATTACAATTTCAGTTTAGAGTTTGCTCGAAGCTGGAAGGTGGAAATGTAAGTTTTATCCGAAATTGAGAAACTCCTATAGACTCTCAAAGCTACAAGCTTTGTCTTTTAGCGTTTGCCAAACAGCATGTTTTTGTAATTTATTAGAGTACAAAACACTTACCTATTACAGTGGCTAAAATTATTAGACCCAACAAAACCGCTGTGACAATCATAGTAACCATTTCTACAGTAACCTTAATGTTACCATTCAGTGCCTCTTCGAAACCATCAGAACCGTTTCGAGACGAATTAACAGTCGTGGTGAACATAACAATTTCGCCGGGAGTTTGAAAGTACAGACTGCTGTTATCTTGAAACTCCACCGGATACCATACATCGTTATCGGTAATGTCCGTAGTGGTAGGGTTACCGATGGGGTTGGGTAGAAGGTTTACCGATTTGAAATTGGAAAAGAAATTAGCCGGCGACGCGGCCGTTGGACCGCCCAAAAGTACCGAGGCGATTCGGATCGACGTCGCATTGTTTTGGTCCCGTAAAAGTGTAAAGGGTCGCCAGGCATTCGGTCCAGCTAATTCAGCCATAGTTTGTTTTAGTAACGAAAGGAACGAGTTTACATGACGGCGCGATGGGCGTTTGGGTCATTTTTTTCTGTGATCCATTTCTGAAACAAATAATGGAAGATTATTAGTTTATTAGGAATTCATAATGAGATGTTTTATTAACATGTAAGTACAGAATGAAAATTTATAGAAAGATTGAAATTCGGAAAACCCTTCAGTGATTCTGTAAACTATTATTACTTTCACTACCTCGGAATAAGCGTCACTACCCAAACCAGACTCGACAGAGCCGAGCTCATGGCTTTGGTGGATGTAGACGATTCAACATCAGGAACAAGGGTTAGACTATCCACTACCTAGAAAATGGCTCATATTTATCCTCTGCCATGAGCTGAGATTTTTTTTTCTACAAAGCAACTTGCAGCATAGCAAAGGGGCGACCTCTTTAATAGATCGTCACAACAATTAGGCAGGCACACATATGCCTCCTGCAAGAACCTTAATCATACAAGGGCATCAGAGTTGCACATCTTTCTTCTACGAGAGGGAGGACCAACTAAACTCAGGAACTTGAATCTATGTTGATAGACGGATCGAGACCTCTCTAATAACCAATTTCTGCTCTAGTAGCCTGTAAAGCTATGCCTCGAGGACTGACTAGAGCAAGGCAGATCAGCAGCGGGTGTCATGTAGAATTATATCAGTCGACAAGATTCTACATGCTTGGCACTATGTGCATCAAGCATATCGACAAAACGCGATTTATTTTATATTAGTTTCATTTCTACATCACGAGACGTGTTGAATACTACTAACGCATGTGCATGATAGTGAAGTTTCATGAATGATACTGACAATTGCGAAATTGTTGTTGTTGATATTCCATATTTATATTGAGTAATAATTGACCTATCTCGCATAAATAGAAAGAGAGAGCTTAATTGTAATAAATACAAGTTACATAGTAATAAAAGATGACATGCGCACGCAGCTAGTGGGTTGCAGTGTAGCCAGATTGTATTGTTGCAGAACAATATACACAATGCAAATCGAAAATTATAGCATTAAAGAAGCGATATAGTGTCAAGTGTTTTACACCTTAAATTAGACCAAAAAGTTTAAAAAGTTTATGTTAACATCGTTTGTACTTTTATTTTTATTAATGCTTCATCCGGCAACATCGCACAATGAAATTGCAATGTCAGCCTTGGCAATAATATTCGAAAAATAAATATAATTATGTCCCATATTTTGGGTACCTCAATTCATTACGCATTAATTCGATATTATGTAGTGAAGGTCTTATAGTCCAAGAGCCCAGAGCCGCCAGACACAACTTATTTTCTAAAGGACAGAATATGTGGGATTGTGTAGCACTTATATGTACTATGAACGTATGTATACCCGCTAAGTTGGGTAGACGGCCAATTTACCGACACCAGGTGCGAAAGGTTAAGAAGTACTTTAACTTTTTTTCTAACGCTTAATTTTTATACATGTTATTGGGGAGACTATTTCATAACTACGTCTGCTCAGCCAGACCAATCGCACCGGCCAAACATCCCCCCAGTTGCAATAATAGTTTTTCCGTGAGTGTGAGCGCGAGGATACTATGCATGCGTTTGAGAGTGAGCGAGATATCTATTTCTCCCTCTTAAACTTACAGTCTACTCCAGGCTAGAGTAGAAATGGGATTCGGTTTTTCCCATAATGGGAAAAACCGTTATTTACAAATAACAGTCAACTGGCCGTCTACCCAACTTAGCGAGTATACATACGCTCATAGTACCTATAAGTGCTATTCAATCCCACATATTCTGTCCTTTAGAAAATAAGTTGTGTCTGGCGGCTCTGGGCTCTTGGTGTTTGTTTACAATTTAGGTTATTTAATGTCATTACTGCCGCTTGGATTTGGTTCAACTATAGCTTTTTATTGGGTATTGGGTGAAAAATTAAATTATTCAAAAATAAAACCTCGAATAAAACACATATTATGGTTAAAATCTCTTTAATAACAATTCAAAAAATTAGTGCAAAAAATGACGACATATCAAATTGTTTCTTGCTTGGACTCCTGCTTGCATCACGGTAGGTTGAGGTACCTTGTACCTCGGTACCTCAATGTTATCCCTTAGGATATAAGGTTCGGGAATCATTCAGTCTCCCTTTCGAGCAATTATTATGTGAAATAACACAAACAATAACAAAGTTCCCAACCTTTTGTGAGGCACGCCTCAAAACTATTGAAGTACACACAAATCTTTGTTTAAGCAAACCGATACAATTTCGAGTTTGCATGTGATTTTGGCTATGATTGAACTCTGGAGTTCCTGGAGCAGCGTTTTCTATAAGTATCATTAGCCACGGTTCTTCATGATGAAGTCTAATAATTTCACTGTGGGTTGAGGGTTCCATCGACCGCTCTTATCACACCTGGGAAATTAAATTTTTCCATAAATCCTGCTTTAATTAGATTTTTCTCGTCTTGAGGCACAGGAAACTGAACCTTATGATGGCCATTGTACTTCCTCTATTGCTCTTGAGTCACATTAATATTATAGCTTTGCCCAATAACACGTTGGTAAGTTCCACTGGCAATGAAATACAAAACGCCAAAAACCCTCACTCAAGGAGAATTTGCCACTGGAATAACTGCATTTGTTATGTTAGGGCATGAATAGTTCCATTTAACACATAATGTGTTATATCTTTTGTTAGGCGAAATATTTCTTCAAATCTAACATCTTATTTTTGAAAACAGTCACTGTTGTTGTGTAACCTTACTTTTGGCTTAAGCATTTAGCATATTTTCGTGACGTTAATTCCCTTTACTTCAAGGACCATACAAACTTACGCTTGTGTCTAAGTGTCATTTACATCCACTTAACTTAACTTACAGTACAGAAAATTAATAATAAAGAAAAGTTGAAGATCATGTACTTATATGTAGTTGCTTACATCCACTTAAAAATTAAGAAAATTAACGTAACTCACGGAAAAGTTGAACCAACTACAACTTAAGGAAATCCGTACGTTAATTTCAATAAATTATTAATGACAGACAGATTTGTTACGATAAATTTATCATTATGAGTGTATGTTCAGTGGATAACATAGAGACTGACTACAAGTGGTAAGTTATAGCAAAGTTCCCAAGAGCATTGATGGTGATGGCAACATAATTAATTATCAATGCTCACAATAAAAAATATTTTTTTTTTTGTAGGCACTCCTGCTTGGAAAAAATTTAGAACTGATAATTTGAAACTGCCTCCTAATTCTGCTAAACACCTACTTCAAAACCAACAAATAGGAGAAGACCAATGATCAATAGAGCATTGACCACTTCAGATATATCTGAAAAATACAATTTGCTCTTGGATAGAAGATTAACTCTACTCGAAAAACAATTAGAACAATATGAAGAAAACGCAAAGTTTCAAAAAGAAGAGCAAAAATTGAAGTTATGAAATTCAATACAAGAAAACTTTATTAAGAAATTTAGACACTGCTTTGTGAACTAGATTGTAAAGGTGGTAATAGGTCTGCTCGCACAGCAATCACAAATTAGTCAAAGCGAATTTCATTGGTTGAACAGTCAGAAAACTAGTTCGAATCAAAGAATTCTCGACTGATTTGTGATTCCTGTGTGAACAAACCTTATGAAATAACAAATAATAGTTATTTACATTACAGGTGCGTTTATGAGCATGATTACAATAACGAGTGTGAAGGATTAGAACGACGAGGTCGTAGACCGAGTCGTTCTAATCACACGAGTTTTGTAGTCATGTTCAAACGCACGTGTGATGTACAACGTTTTATCTACAAAGCAAAAAATAAGAATATTTTTCCAATTATTTTCGTTCATTAATAGTTGTCTACCTTCATTTTACCTTTACAGGTTTACCTTTGACATTTGTCAAATCACCAAAACTAGTTGTGTTATAGACTCATAACCTCGTCCATAACACCACTAGTTGTGTTATGAATTCATAACCTAGTCTATAACACCACTTGTTGCGTTATGAGTCTCATGACGTAACTCAAATACTAGAAAAATGGTTATGTAAAAACGTCATTACCAAACGCTTGTAGATAAACAAGTTTTTCTGTAGTTTTTATCTGTTATTGAAAAAAAAATAAACTTCAAAATCAAACTATTTGATTCTTTATTTAGGTTTCGTTTTGAGTAAAGTCAGATCAATTAATTCCTATTACAAAAGAAAATTAAAGATGTGCAAAATATTGATTGATAAGGTTTCATCTATGGTTGTTCATTGGGATGGGATCATTTCCATTAAGCGGGATATGGGGGATATTTCCCATTTCAACTAGATATCTTAGCTCTTCTTCATTAATGTTTTCCAAAGCAGGAGGCAAATCTTCATTCATATTTCTAGCAATATTGTGCAGAACTGCTGTGTCACAACAACTGATAAGCACGTTTTAAGCTCACATCTCAATCCATATAGCAATGATGAAAACCTCATCTTCCAAACTCCAATTTGCCTCTCAACACAGCTGCGAGTTCGAATTTGGGATTCATTATATAATTGCTCAGCTCTATTATTGGGATTTCCCAAAGGAGTCATGAGATATGGTCTGTCAGCATATACACTGTCGGCTATAAAAATAAGTAAATTAAAATCCCAATAAACAATACCTATTTTATTCGAACTTGCCTAGAAGTACACTATTAGGAAATTGGCCTGCTTCAATTCGTGCTCTAATTTGACTATGATTGAACACTGTGAAATCGTGCACTGATCCAGGGCATCTCACAACGATGTCCCTTATTTTTAATTTGCTATCACAAATGACTTGGGCATTAAGGGAGAAATAGCCTTATCGGTTTCTGTAGATTTCTGCATCTATTCCACCTAAAAACAAACTTTCATATTTCAGAAGTACCTACCTATCCAAATCTTTTTTTTTTTTTTTCACAAAAATAATTCTATTTCTAACCAACAAAGTTTATATTTCTTGAAGCCAAATCTTGCTCAACTCAACTTCAAATTTTTAATGAACAATTAGAACTAGACATAATATATACAGTGTGGACATAAAGTCCGTCGCCCCTCCTCTAACTTTTGAACCG